AAGTTTTTGTCTTTTTATTCATAGCTTTTGTGAAGCTCTTATCCCAATCAAGGAGAGATGGCCTATATGAGGGAAATATGCGAGCACGTTCCTTCTCGTGCATTTTTGTGCTCTTGGGCGCCGATACCGCTGGCAAAAAAAGTCGAAAAAACATTGAATAAGTTACAGGCCATATCCAAAAATGGAAGCCTGGAATGAAAGTGTAAGTGGATCAAAGAGGATTCCAGCGATTACGATAATACGATGGAGGAAGAATTCACCTAGTGGGAAAGACAGGCGACCACCGAAGGATGCGGACCGACACGCAGTCCGCAGCAAAGGATATGCCCCCGGTGACTCAGCGCAATCCCCGCGGCCGCAACTGGTGCGCGCTGGTTGGCTCGGTACGCCCACTCTCGCGTCAGCGCGTGCTGCAGTGATTTGCCATTTAGTTGAACAAAACGTCCGACATCACACAGTACGCACTTACTCGTCCGCAAAGAGGTCTGCGCTCCTGCTTTAGTAGCCAGAGAAGCTTGCGTGTACGTAAACGGAAATTTTTTGGGGGGGGGAAGTTCACTGAGCACTGCTCGGGCAGACAGACTACACTATTTCCCTATCAGACTATCCCTGAGCCATACATAAATGTTGTACATCAAATTTAAAAAGTATGTGAACCATTCATCAGAAGTATAAAAAGTTGCAGCATAGCCCATAGGCTTTTTATAGGAAAAGCCCCGTACGCTGAAAGACATTTCACTGACCATTTGATACATGGAAAATGGGGTGATGCTGGAGAGCGATCCTGCTGTTGCTGCGAAGTCGAGCTGCGGTGTGGCTGCAATGAATCCCTGTAATCCACCTAGGAGACTGACTGAATTCTTGAAGTGACGAACCGGCAAACGACGAACACAGCTGCCGTTGATGAAGCAGGTAAGGAACGGACAATCCGTGAAGGTTTCCGTCACGCCACGACGATACAATCTGAAACATTGTAGAAAGTAGGCTGTAAAATTTTATACGAAGTTATACGACCCCCAAATGTTTTTACCAGTTTTTGCTGGGGCACTATGTAGGGGACAGCTTGGAGTGCTGGGACCTGTAACAAAACTGTAAGTGCAACAGCTTGACTATGACTAAAAAATTATTATGAAAAGAGGGGTGCATCGAAAATCAACGAACGTTCTCACCCGTGTATCAACCTGAGCCTGGTTGGACAAGTCTGACGTAGTTGCGGTGGAAGATTGAACGCCATATCCTCTGGCTGAACATGATGAGATCAAATTTATACGTCTTTTTTCTCTTTATAATTTTGTGACTTACAGCTACGCGGACATAATGAGGACGCTTTGGCCCTACCACTGAACTCCTACTATATGTTAGGTAGCGGGATACTTAATCTGTTTTCTCATCTCACAACGAGCTTCTATTCAGCAAATTTTCTAGGTTGTTATACGAGGAAAGTGATTTTCTTCAGTTCAGAGAAAGCCTGGTAGTTAATGCAATACTTAATCCATATTAAAAAGTTGCACCTACACAGAAAGCCTTTACAGTGCCCCAATGCCAACAGCTCTAACAGATATTAATTTTGAAATGTTGCTGATTCACGATGTAGCTGATGACGGGTTACCGGCTCATATGTTTCTGATAGGTTAGGCCGATGTTGAGGTTTGAGAATTGCTGGATACGAGTGTTGCGCCAGCGAATCAAACGATACGCCAGCGAATCGACCGATGTACCAGCGATTCGAACGATGTACCAGCGACTCGACACTGTTTGAAAGTGGCGGGACCCAACGTTTAAAGGAAGTCCACTTCGAAGGAAGACACTGTTTGAAAGCGGCGGGACTTCCTTTAAACGTTGGGTCCCGCCACTTTCAAGCAGTGTCGAGTCGCTGGATACTATACAGGGGGGGGCAAAAAAGAGTCACTCTGACTCACATTCAAAACAGAATTAATTAAACTTTGCCGGAACCAAACCAAATGAGCTCAATTGCATATTGAAAAGCACATTCTATTCTATCATCGTAAAACTTGCGTATAATGTACGAGCTATACGAAACCATAGACGATTACGACGTCTCTGAAACGCTGGTCAAAAGCCATTTTGCGTATTCAGAGCTAGTGTCCCTAAGAAGTCATTCACCAGTTATCCGAGTGAAGAACTTATGTAGCAGCTTCAGAATGGAGCAATTACGGTAGGCCTCCTTGAGCTCGACGGTGATGACAGATGACGTCATATTCTGGAGACGGTGAAAGCAGCGAAGGTGGGCCTGATTCTGCTTATGGGGGGACATCTAAGGAATAATTTGCCGTATAACTCCCAATAACAGCGGCATCCTTTGCGACGAAAAGTTTGATGATATGCGCCATAGGCAAAGTGACTCTTTTTTTGGCCCCCTTGTATATTCGGACTCGCTGGGGGCAACGGGTCGATTTGCTGACGCAAACTTCGCATTTTCGCTGGCGGCAACGCTCGATGCGCAAACTCTAACAATCGGGTAGTGCGTTAGTTCAGAGGGAGGGAAAAGCTTACCGGCCGTGGCGCGGAAGCTGGAGAGCGTGCTGGTGACCAGAATGACGTGCCACTTGCGGCGGGCTGAAGAAAGGGCAAAGTGGCGCAGCACAATAGCTTCTTACTGTGATAAAGTTCTGGCGGAAACACTATCCCTTTGCTCGCTTCCTTTTCGTAAAGTATTCGTGAAGCGGTGCCACGGTAGTATAATCGGTAGCATAAGTCGAGACGAGAGGAAAGTTTGATTCCCGCCTGGGGCAACGTGTTTTGCTCATAACTCAGCATTCTTGTGATAAATTTCAGTAACAGTTTACAGAACACTTCGCGAAAGATGGTCATACCCAAATTCAAGAGATCCACCGTAGACGGACCAAGTGGGTTATCGTCGTCCTGAAAAATAATAACAATGAGATGGGGGCTGGTGCATAAAGGCACATTCTGCGATGACGGGATAGGGGTAATGGTTAGAGCAGACAAGGGAAACAACTGAAACTGTAACGGTGGGATTGGCCGACGTCAGACTTTGCGAATTCGCGCGATTCGCTAGCGTCCGCGGTCGCGTTGCGGTACCAGCCAATTGAGTGATTCACTGGCCGCGACGCGACCGTAATCGCGGAATGTGCCTGTAAGTTCGGCAGCTAACCCGCAATCGTTGGAGTGTGTTGATCAGATTATCAATCGTCTCCCGCTTATTTACTGGACCTCCATCAACAGCTTCCTCCGCGAACGATGTGTTTGATGAATTATCAGCTGGAAAGGAGACAGGAGTCCATCATTTTCTCAGTAGAAATGAAATAGAATTGCCTGAACTTACCGTAGGCCTTCGTCTCGCTTCGCAACCTCTTCGGCTGGCTAGGAAATTGTTCATTCTGCATAGGAGCTTCTTTGAGTTGTCGACAGAAACGTGATCTGCAACCGGGAAATCTTCATGCTTTCATAACAGTCTCAAGGAACCAGGCGCAATGGAGCCGGTCGTTGGCAGTGATATGAGAAAACACATGCTAGACTGAGCGTTAAACAGCAGTCATAGTTCTGAATTAAAACTTGGCCCCCGAAACTGCCCGGCGCAAGCGTAGCACTAATGTTCCAATAGGTAATCATTATCGCATCGAAATCATTAAAAATATTATATCAAGTGGTAGTCTTATTTTGCAGGGTTCTGACGAATTTTTTTTCCACCAATTACAATCCCACTGACATTTTAAACCCTCCCAGAATCATCGTACTCACTGCTCTTAAAGGCAAACCCTGGGATTAAACTGGTGCTACTAGCGCGCGGGTCGGGGTGATAGCCTTAGCTGGCGGAACGCGGAACGACCTGAAAGTGGGGAAGGAAAGTAAGAGAAGTTTTTGAGGACGCTGAAACTAAGGCCTTTATCCTTCAGTAAGGTCGGATGTGGAACGATGGCGAGACAGGGCGTTCAAAAAATACAAAATGCGCGAGAGAGGCACATCGTTTGAGAGAGCACGCTAATACATCAATGAACGTACATATACATACATATATACCATCTTTCGCGGTGGGTGGGAAGCGTTGGAACAGGGGTCGATGGTTGCAGGCCCGTAAGGATTAGCGCCCTAACCGCGCAATTTTTGCGACGAAGCTGGAGTGATCTAGGTAGGTACGGACCTTACAATTTCCCTCGTGGTATCCCTTCCTACTAGTCGGGCTAAATCCCGGAGGTTTGCCTTTGTTTAAAGCGAGGGATTACGATAAGTTTGGTGGGTTCATAGTGGAAGTGGGATGCTGAATAATGCCCCAGTGGCGAAAAAAGCAAAGAAATCCGTCAAGAAGGCGCAAAATGGGACCCCTTTCTTTGCCCGTTGACCTCCGATAATGGACGAGCTAGCAACCAATTAGGAGGTCGTTTGCACATGTTAAACTGATAGCCTCTATCATTTCAGCAGCAGAGCATCTTTGATTGATCACGTATTCTATGGGAAAGTTATAGGATACGCACTTGAAGTGGAATACCTCATCCAAATGATGCTGCCAGAAGCGCACTGGTGGGCGGAGCACATTGGGCAGAGGCGGAGCTCAGGGAGGATTGGCAGCCCCAGGGCGACGAACTAGCGTGCCTATGGTAACGAAAAAGCCACATCTAGCATCCTTGGGCCCCTGACTAATGCTTCCACTGGCATGCATATGCTTCCGCGCAAGCGTCACACTTTTCGTAATCGCTGTTTAAAGGACGAATTCACGATGAAAAAGCAACCCATTTCAAATTAACCTAGGGATGGTGAGTGGTACACGAAAGAAGGAAGAACCATGAGAAACGGCCCAGAACCCGAGAAATGGTACCCCTTCCTTGCCCGTTGATTCGAGCATTGATGCGACTCTCATCGCTGTGCCCTCTTCAACACTACGCTCTCTCAGCTATCTAATCACTCGCCACGTATTGAACTACGGCGAGTGATCAGATGATCGGTGGGCGGAGATCGCCGGACCCGCCAGCTTTGAGGCATGATAGGTCGCCGAGGTCAAATTTTTCCATGCGAATTGCGCGTCAGTTCGCACCCTCAGGAGGTCCGTGGGTCCCTCAACTAGGTCAGTTTCCCTTTCTTCGACCTTCATTCTAATCGTGAATTCCTCCTTTAAGGAGAGGCCTTAGTCAGGAATCGAAAGAAGTTTCGGCCTCACCGAAAAGTCTTTTCTGTGAATAAAGAGCTATATTGCATCACTTTCGCACATCTACACGCGTCGCTAACACGCCAGGCTTTGGGATTTGGTCAGTCTCTCGCCAAAAGGATCAAGGTCCACCCAACCTTCGATATCTCGCCTGTGTCACAGTGTTGATCCGCTATGGTGTCTTGGCTTTGGTTCTTTCACCTCTCCGCGACCACACCATCCCTCTACCCTCGCCTTCAAATGACCAGAAATTGTGCAATTGCAGAAATTGACGTGGCATTGGCACACGTGGCTAAATTCTCGATGAAAAGGTGACATCACGTGTGCTCAAAGATGTTCTTGAATCGATGCCACGTTAATGCCACGTCAATTTCTGCAATTGCACAATTTCTGGTCATTTGAAGGCGAGGGTACCGGGCTACCCTTGGGCTTCTCTGCAGCGGATCAGCAACAAGGTTGCAATTCTCGGTGTATTTTGACGAGTTCATCACACCCTGTCCCATCTGTCTCCTTCCTATGCCATATTTTTCATATTAGAGGAGGTCACTCAGTGAGCAGGGTCAACTGGGCGTCGGACAAAGTCAACCGCAGGGGTGCGGGGGGGGTCCGTATTTCGGGGGGTAGCTTAATGTTACAGTAAGGGAAGTGATGGTGGGGTTGGTTGGGGCGCTGAAATTTTGCCGTTTTATGGTGCGTATAAGCTTCCCCTAGGAAATGTTGCAGTGGAAATGTTGGTGAAATAGGGGGGGGGAATCGAGGAGGTGTTGCAGGTTTCGTAGTTAGGTATATACCCCCTTCCCCAATAGAATCGAGTACCATGGAATGAGCCCCATGATGGCGATGGACAGGCGAGGGTGGTGAAGGGTTGACACCTAGAGGGGGGTCGTATCGAGGCCCTCTAGAAGGGGGGAGGGGGTTCGCAAAATTTTCGAAATCGGTCCAACGTGACGGTTGACGTGTCATGAGTTTGATCGCTAGGCCTTTCTCTTCAGCGCTCCGGAAGCGTCATGGAAAAAAAAAACATTGATGGTTACTTGTGTCTCATTCACGCTCGATGGAACGAACACCTCAGAAAATCAACAGGATGAACAACTTGACACTACAACTGAATTGAAAGCGGTGGGTAAGAATCATTTGAGAGCATCAAGGCAGTGGACAAAAGTGCGAAGATTGTTCGAGCTAGCCTACATTCGCAGCTAGCCATAAGCACAGTCTACGTTCACGACGTTTCACGACCTTACCAGGGAAGGTCTTTCAGGGCGTGACAAGCTTTTTGAAAACGGTCTTTTGCATGATATAGGGGCAGATGCGGGAACCACAGAACCATGTTCAATTTTTCCTGAACGGCCCTCTGAATACCAGAAAAGGAGGTCCCTAGTTCGATTCCTCGTGGTAACAAATTTTTGCATTTCGAGTTGACGTGCCAAAATTCGCGCAAAATGGAGTTAGAACCAACCAGAACAATCAGAACTCCATTTTGCGCGAATTTTGGAACGTCAACTCGAAATGCAAAAATTTGTCACCAAGAGGAATCGAACTAGGGACCCCTTTTTCTGGTATTCAGAGGGCCGTTCAGGAAAAATTAAACATGGTTCTGTGGTCCCCGCATCTGCCCCTATATCATGCAAAAGACCGTTTTCAAAAAGCTCGTCACGCCCTGAAAGACCTTCCTGGTTAGTGTTGATGGAAATAACCTGTTCGCATTTCATGAGTGCGGCCAAATTGAACCACCTTATGAACGCACATACATTACATTGCACGACATTATACAAAAATTGGGCACTATTTACCCTTTACTGCCCCACTCCTCGAGAACTGAGCCGGATTTTTATCGAAATTGTCCATGACTGTGGATTTGGCTAGAAACTTGCCTTCAGGGGTAATTCGACCCGTAGAACACGAATATCACATTTGTTTACCGCTAGAACGCCTGGCGCTCGCGCCAGAAGCGCCGGCGCCAAAAGGCGCCAGAATTCGCGGATCACGAAATTCGCTGGTAAGCGCCCGCGCAAAACTGTTGTGATAGCGCCGGCGCCTGTGGCGCGGGCGCCAAGCGTTTTCGCGCTAAACCGGTGTGATATTCGTGTTCTACGGGTCGAAATTACCCCTGAAGGCAAGTTTCTAGCCAAATCCACAGTCATGGACGAATTTCGATCAAAATCCGGCTCAGTTCTTGAGGAGTGGGGCAGTAAAGGGTAAATAGTGCCAAAATTGTTTCTTGCTTTGTTTTTGTTATTGGACTCTACATAGTCAGGATGAGCATGTGGTTAGCGTTCTCTAATATACTGTGAGGGGAACGATAATCCCTGACTAGGCAAGGACGGAATGGATTCTACAGAATCCCGTCAATGGTCAAAGATCTGGAACGCCCCCGAAATCGTCAAAGCATCGAAGATCAGGTGAAGCATGCGAAATAGTGCGATTTGTGATCACTGGATGAAGCCGTAATCAAGGGAATGAAACAGTTACAAAGACGACTACCGGCCTCACTAAACCATAAGGTGCACGTCGCCCTTCTCGAATGATGGGAGCGAGAGGACCAATGGAGGGGTTACTGGACGAGGAGGGCCGAACATAGAGGTCTTTCACGGCTCCTGTGTCGATCAAGGAATACGTATCTCTTTAGCCAACAGTGCACAGATTATGCAGTTGAATGACAGCCGGAAGTGAACCGGGGCGTCCACAGTAAATATCAAAAATAAATCGGCTAATGATCGCTGCAATAAAGTAAATGACACTCATTGTAAAAGGCCAAAGAATAAAACAAAGGCCACAACAATGACATCTTAATGAAGTGCATAAGACATTTCAAGTGAAGTGTTCAGACCTTTGAAAGAAGGAAAACCGACTGCCTTCAACCAAGATCACGCTTCAGAATAAACTAAAGTAAAGCTCTAAAAGAAGTTGGTGGAGTTAGCAATAGAAAGTCAATTTTCTAAAGCAATTTTCAAACTTAGGACTTACATATGACAGCATTTCTCCTTGAAACCAATGAACTATAGTTATAAAATTGACACATCGAGCAACTCTTTTGCCCGATTCGCTAGATCAACTGGCAAACCATAAGTGTGCATTGAAACGCTGGATACCAAGTTCTATCGTTTGTGTATATCTGTTCGTGTCCTCTTCCCGTAGTTGCAAAACTCGTAGGAGATTGTGAAAAGTGCGTGAAGCTGGTAAGCGGCTCCGTGCTAGAAGCTCGGAAGGTTTTGGTCAGAGGGTCGAGGTATGTTGAACGTAACTGTC